AATATAGTATATTAACGCATATTTGTGGAATATAGAAAAATGATATAGATGAACTGGTTTGCAAGGCAGAAATAGAGACAGAGATGTAGAGAACAGATGTATGGAAACCATGGGTGGAAAGCGGGGGTGGGGTAGTGGTGGTGGTGAGATGAATTGGGAGATTGGGATTGACATATATACACTGAGATGTATAAAATAGATAGCTAATAAGAACCTGCTGTATAAAAAATAAAATTTTAAAAAAGGTAAAAGAATTTTCCTTTCCTTTTGCCACTATGTTGTCTTTAGGTCAAGCAAACTTTTAAACCTTCAGCTTCAAAAAGGACTGAAACCATGAAATCTAAGTTCTTATTATGAAACAAGTTTACCTTAGTTAATCATGTTTTCGAAACTATCATCCTTCCTTGTAGTCTTACAGGATATATGATTCTTTAAGTATTCTTCCAGTTGTTAGGCTTGTTGCTTTTCCTACTCCATGGACTCCTTCCCTTCTTCCTTGAACTATGTAAAGTCCTCTTAACAGTGCTTAAGAATGGGTTCTGGAGCTCTACTGCCTGGCTTTATATCCTGGAGTGCCACTTACTATCTGTATGACCTTGAGCAAGTTTCTTAACCTTTCTGCTTCAGTTTCTTCATCTATCAAATGAGAAGAATAATAATTCCTATCTCATAGAGTAGTTAGGATTAAAAGTAATGCTTTGAGTTACGTAGAAGAGTGCCTGAGATGCAGTAAGCACTCAGTTATCACCATCATCATAACTGTCCTCTTCTTCTTCCTCCTACTTGGTCACTAAGATATGTCACTGTTTCTTTCTAGACCCTAGAGCACTGATTTCTCATTTCCCACTGACTCTGACACCATTCTAGACCTAGACCGTGATATTACTACCTCACACCACAGTTTCTAAGAGAGCTTTATGTAACTCATCTTTCCTCTAACATGTCCTTTGTGCTTGTGTTTTTCAGTACATGATAACAGTTTCATATTATCACTCCCTGTTCCAAGAGCACACAGCAGTTTTTCAGTAACTTGTTTTATCAAGCCCAGACTCTTCTGTCTGACTCTGGCTTAACATTACTCTCTTGTTCCATTCAGACCAATTTCATATTTTCTCATTTACATCATACACTTGGACATTTGCTCATGTTTTTCCTTCAGGCTTTATTCCCTTCATGCCCTTACCCTTCTACTTACTATTTCTTTCCTACCTATACTTCAAAAATCTAATGTTTCTAAGAAGCCTTTCTGGCATTTAAGAACTGAGCTTGGGTAGGAGCAGTGTTGGTATAACTGGGAGAGACTTAGAGTACAAAGGTTGATTTAGAGATTGGAGTTCACGGCCTTTAAATTCAAGAAGAGTAAGGATTGAGAAGTGGAGGGATGTGAAGTGAGGGACAGCTGAGAGCAAAGCAGTGTTGAAAATCTGAATGTCGTTCAGGTTTGTGACAGACCAGGGTGGATCCAGATGGATCAGATGGTTTTTAAGGTCTGCATGGCCAGGCAAGATAGTGCATATCTGAACTGACAGGAGCCAGTGATGTTCAGATGAGGAACAGGTATTAAGTATCTGAAGTAGTTGGTATTGGTGTCTTGGGGACTGGAAGATTGGGGACATAACCGGTTAAAATAGTGCCCCTGGTTAGCCTAGAATATCAAGATCAGTACAGGATGACAGCAAAACTGAATTTGCTGAGCCACAGAACAACTTATATTACCTTCTGGCTAAGATTAGAACTGGGTTGTGAGAATATTGCTATATTCAGGCAACTTGATAGGCTCCCTTGACAGAGGTGTAAGGATGGAGTGACGACCATTAATCTGACCAATAAAGCCTCAGTGATTTCAGTGTGCTTAGCATATGTCCCATATTACTTTACTCCTAATTAAGGACCCTACTATCTTGTATGGTTGTGATTGACTTATGTGAATCTCTTTTTCTGTGTCTGTATCAGATGAGTATCATTTGTGTGTGTGTGTGTGTTACGCGGGCCTCTCACTGTTGCGGCCTCTCTAGTTGTGGAGCACAGGCTCCGGATGCGCAGGCTCAGCGGCCATGGCTCACAGGCCCAGCCGCTCTGCGGCATGTGGAATCTTCCTGGACCGGGGCACGAACCCATGTCCCCTGCATCGGCAGGCGGACTCTCAACCACTGCGCCACCAGGGAAGCCCTCATTTTTAAAATAGAGCTTTACTGTGGTATGATTAACATTCAGCTGCATATAAAGTATGCGGTTTGATAAGTCTGAAATATGTATACACCTTTGAAATCATTACCACGATTAAGATAATGAACATATTCATCATCTTCAGAAGTTTCCTTGTGCCCTTCTTTCCCTCTCTGCCCTTCTCCCACCCTCCCACATCCACTGATTTACTTTGTCACTATAGATTAGTTCTTATTTTCTAGAATTATTTATTTTTATTTTTAATTGAAGTAGAGTTGATTTACAGTGTTTTGCCAGTCTCTCCTGTTACAGCAAATGACTCAGTTTTATACATACATATTCTTTTAAAAAAATTTTTTATTGTGGAAGTATTTAAATGGAATCATATAGTATGAACTCTTTGTCTGGCTTCTCTCACTCAGCGTATTTATTTTTTTACCATAATTATTTTGAGTGTGTCAATAGTTCATTCCTTTCTATTGCTGAAGAGTTATTTCATTGTATGGATATACTTCAATTTGTTTATCCATTCACCTTTTGAGGGACGTTTGGCTGTTTCCATTTTGGGCTCTTGCAAATAAAAATGGGATGAATATTTGTGTACAAATCTTTGTGTGCACATAATGCTTAAATATATATATTTTAGGAGTGGAATCGCTGGCAGGAGTTTTATGGCAGAAGTATGTTTAGCTTTTTTTGTTTTTTTAAAGAAATTGCCAAACCATTTTCCAAAGTAGTTGTACCGTTTTACATTTCCTACAGACTGAGTTTCAGTTCTACATCCTTTCCACATTTGGTATGGTCACTCATTTTAATTTTAGCTTATTCTAGTGGGTGTTCAGTGGTAGTTCACTATAGTTTTAATTTGCCTCTCCTCAATGACTAACTGATGTAGAGCCTTCTTTTGTGTGCTTTTTGCCATCCTGGTGTTTATTTTGGTTTTTTTAATTTTTGTGGTATGCGGGCCTCTCACTACTGTGGCCTCTCCCGTTGCGGAGTCCGGACGCGCCGACCCAGCGGCCATGGCTCATGGGCCCAGCCGCTCCGCGGCATGTGGGATCTTCCCGGACTGGGGCTTGAACCCGTGTCCCCTGCATCGGCAGGCGGACTCTCAACCACTGCGCCACCAGGGAAGCCCCCGGTGTATTTTTTGATAAAAGTATCTGTTCACATCATTTCCTATTTAAAAATTAAAAAAAAATTGTAGTAACATAAAATCTACCATCTTAACTACTTTTAACCATTTATATAGTAGTGTTAAGTGCATTCACTTTGTTGTGCAACCAATCTTCAGAATTCTTTTTGTCTTGTAAAACAGTTACCTATAGTTTTTAAAGTATTAGGTTGTTTTGAAATTTCTTTATATATTCAGATATAAATGCTTTATCAGATATATGCTTCTTCTTTATATATTTAGATATAAATCCTTTGTCAGATATATGCTTTACAAATATTTTCTCCCAGTGTGTGTTTTGTGTTTTCAGTTTACTGTGCATCTTGAAATTGTCCATGATGGGAATGATTTAATCCACATTAATAGACAGATTGCTATAAATCAGGACTTTATTTTTTGTTGATTGTCTGTACTCAAGAAAAGTAATGGGGAAAGGTTATTAATAAGGCAGATGAAACTTAAAATTATGTTATGTCTATAACCTTTACACTGTGACAAGCACGAAAAAATGAGGAAAGAAATATGCTTTCCAGTATTTGAAAAACTATTGTCTAATATGCAAAGACGTCATTCAAGTCATTGTTGAATGAGTGAAATTCAGACATATGTCTTCATTATTTCACTCTTGTCATTTGCAGCCATTGCTTGGCTGTGGGTTAAAGAGTTCAGCTACCGTCAGTGAAAGCATTCTGGGACAATCAATTGCCTAAGCTGAATTTGCAGTAAAGAGTATTTTATATTTTTTCATTGTTTGTCAGTTGTGTGATACATCTCTCTTTATTTCAGTAAAATTTATAATAAGCTTATATACATATGTATACAGTTTTTTCCTACAGAGCCATTTGTTAAACATTTACTGGCTGTGCACTAAATAGTAAGCATTAAGGGAAATATTTCTAGACTCACATAGCTTGAGTCAAGAAAGAAAAATGAAGTTGTGAAACAAAGTCATTGTATTGGTGATCAGAAAACCAATGTAAAGCTGAGACCAGAGGAGGAAAAGGATGGGATGAGTAGTAGGGAGAGCAAATGAAAGGCATAATACACAGAAGGTCAGGTCAATTCTCTTACCACTAAAGACACAGAGGGACGTGAGTTGTTTCTTGTAGATTATTTGTTTTGCTCTGATTTGACTTGGTCTTAGCATTTTTAGGTATGTAATAGTCTGTTAATGGTATTGAAGAGGAATGTTAAGAGCTCATATATTATTAATGTTACATTAGCAACTTCAAATAAGCATTGAATATTTCCAAATATAATTTTCCTTCAGACCAAATACTTTTTAACATTTAAAATTGGAACACAGGGGGACTTCCCTGGCGGTCCAGTGGTTAAGACTCCATGCTTCCACTGCAGGGGGCACGGGTTTGATCTCTGGTTGGTGAACTAAGATCCTGCATGCTGTGCAGCATGGCCTGCCCCCCCCCCAAATAAATAAATAAATAAATAAATAAATAAATAAAATAACAGTGGAACACAGAACAAAGATGTGTTCCCTGTTATCTTCTAGAAGTTGCATCATTATCTATCAATACATTGCTTTTTAATCTGTACACATAATGTTTACCATAATTATTAGATTTCTTTCAGAAGTTTTTTTCCCCCAGAATAACTTGATTTTGAATCTGATGATTAAGTTAAACATTTTTTTGTTTTGTAGCCATGCAGGGTATACGTACTGTGGGTCTTGTGCTGCTCATGCTTACAAACAAGTGGATCCATCTATTACGTAAGTAATATAGTTAGATACCATTTTCATTAGGGGGTTGGGAATTATAATTGCTTTGTCACTGAAGTAATTTGTTTTACATACTTATTATATACTTGATTTCATTAAGAATTTGACTTTATAAATTTGATTGTACCTTATATAGGTTATGAAAAGCTTTAATACTGTTTTTCATTATCTGAACATTTAGCTTCTACCTTCCCTTTGGTAAAATGTTTAGTTCTGGAAGTGTTAGAAGGTTAATACAGCATTGTGATTTATGCGAAATATGTATTTGGTCATTTAGATGACCAAAATATATTTCACATATATATTTAGTCTTTTTCCACAGTTACTGGCTCACAGCTCCCAAAACCCTTGGAATTTTCCTAAGTGGTGAGAATGGCAAAGGTTCTTCTTGTATGTTAATAAGGTGACTTTCGGACCCCACCTAAGCCTGGGGCTGGTTGCCAGGATAACCAACCTTGTGTTTAGAGGGTTGGAATTTTCATTCCCACTCCCTGACCTCCCCTGGGGAGGGGAGAGAGCCTGGAGGTTGAATCAGTCGCCATCATGACTATGTAATAAAGCCCCCATAAAAACCCAAAGGGACAGGGTTTGGAGAGCTTCCAGGTTGGTGAACACGTGGAGATTTGGGGAGAGTGGCCTGCCTGGAGAGGGCATGGAAGGTCCTGGCTCTTTCCCCTTGCCTTGTCCTATGCACCTTTTCCATCTGGCTGTTGCTAAGTTATATCTTTTTATAATAAACCGGTGACCTAGTAAGTGAAATATTTCTCTGTGAGCCGCTCTAGCAAATTAAACCTCTGATTTATAACCGGTCTGTCAGAAGTACAGGTAACAACCTGGACTTATGATTGGCCTCTGAATTGAAATTCAAGGAGTTGTTTGTTGGAAAGGCCAATCTGTAACTGGTTGGTCAGAAGCACAAGTGACAACCTGGGCTTGTGACTGGCATCTGAGATGGGGGATGGGTGTGGGTGTGGGGACGTTTTTGTAGGACTGAACCTGTAACCTGTGGAATCTGTTGCTATCTCAAGGTAGAGTGTCAGAATTGAGTGTGCCCCCTCTTCCACTCACATGAATGCACACAGTGGAATTGGGTCCAGGAACATTAACAGTTAAATATTTTGGTTTTTAAAATTTTCTTTGAAAACCTGGAGATGAATACTTTTAAGAAAAATTCAAAGCCCTTTGTTCTATTTTAATCACTTTATAATTGAAAATTCTTTATTGCACGTGTTAGGTTGTGTTTAATGAATGAAGAATAATTTCTCATTGACAGGATAAGGTACCTGAGTTATTTTAGAATCTGACAATGAATTTAATATGGTTTTTGAAGTATATTAGCTCTTAATAATTTAATGACAGCTCTGAAATTAGCTTAAAAAAATCTTTCTGTCAAATTGAGACTGAGTCGTATACTACTCTCTAAAATGAGAAATTTGTGAACTTTAAAAGCTTAGTATACCACTCTCTAAAATAAGAAACTTGTGAAATTTCAAAAGTTTCTGCTGGAATTAGCCACCCAAATTACTTAATTTGCTGACCAACATTTTATTTAAATAGTTAATTCACTACATGTGAGCCAGTGTCAGGTTCTAGTCTATATTGCCAGTTGTACATACACTGTGTGAATAGGTGAAACTGACCATTTTAATTCTGTCAAATGTTAGGTTAGACCCGTACTAGTAGAGATGAAGTATAATCATTCAGAAGTAACTCACAACAGCCCTGAGTTTAAAAAGAAAATCTCACCCACAGCCTACTCCTTTATGAGCAATTAGTTCAAATTGTTAAAGCAAAAAAGCTGCTCTCTTTTGTTTTTATGTAGTATGCTCTGCACATTTTATCAGGCCTTTATTGAAAGTTATTTTTTAGTAAGTTTTTAATAATAAATAAAATGATAATATTGCCAGATTGATGAGGTTTTGGTTAGCTCCACCTCCTTTATGATGTTTTGATGCACATCTTTAACAAATATTTCATAATACATATTTAATGTATAATTTTAACTTGTTTCATGAATAAGAGTAAAATAGAAATTAGATTGTAAAGCTTTTCAGAAGCTTCCTTTATTTGACCCTGGGCCTATAAACCAACCATAATCAAGACTAGTTTATATAACAGCCTTTTCCAAACCTTTTTCTACTTGGCAGAACTTTTATTGATGATGATATGTGCTAAAAGGGTACCCCTGAATTAAATTTGGCCTAGGAATATATAGAGAGCCTATATTGATATAAGTGGAAATTGTGTGTTAAATAAGTTGATGGACAGTGAGAATGGAAAGGAAAAAAATAATAAGGGAAGAGAGTCAAGGACTAAGAAGGTGACAATAAAGGAGATCAGTAAAAAGAAATGCGAATGATGGATGATGTGATCAGTTTATTTTTATAATTAGTATATAGTAATTGAATTCTGAATAAATAAGTGTGAAGGTCTCAGTGTTAAAAATAATCATGGACAGTCTTGTTGTATTCTCTTGGAAGTGGCCCTCCCTGACATTTGCAATATCTTTATAGTTCTTTAAGAAAATAGAGAAAACATCCTTTTGGGAATAATAAGTATAGAGAAAAAATAACAGTCCAAGAGAGAAGGATAAATTTGACACCACTAGCTTCCATTCTTCTTTCCCTTTCCCATTCTCTACGTGTCAACCAGGGTCATCTTTTGTCCTTAAAATTTGAATGGATCTTTTACCTTTGCATGTTTTTGTAACATCTTGCATGAACATTTGGAAAATATTTGTTCATTGAGTCATGCAGATCTTTCAAATGTTGGCATTTCAACATACAATGTAAAAAAAAATCACATTTGTTAATATCACCATCAATTTCATGAGAAAAAATTTTAATTATTGGGAAGCTTTTTGCAAAAGTCTAATTTTCACTTAAAAGTTTCAATTTTATCATTGGCAACAAATATGTCAAATATTTTCTTTGAAGTGTCAGGCTCGTTTTGTTCATTTTCTAAAAAATTTCTGCTGGATACCTAAATTGGAATAACCACAATTTGTCTACAGTCATTTTTTGAAGTAAAAATTGTGTTCTGTGGAAAAAAGTCTACTTCAGCTCATAACTCAAAATCACACATGCTTTTTCCTTGAGGCATACTTCTGTATGCAGTCGAAGTGCTTTATGTGTTTATCACCACAAATTGAATGCATTTTGTCATACAGAATATTTTTATAAAACTACTCGAAGTTCAAAATTTAATGAAATTAAATGAAACTGGCTTAAAAAAAATACAGCATGGGTGAAGGTGAAGAATACATGACTACTAGTACATTTTGATTCCGTTACTTTGGTTGTAGCCAGCAGTATATACCCAGTCTTACTTTTGTACTAGAAGTGCAAATGTTAACATGTTGAAAAGGCAAATAACTTCTTTGTATTATTATGAAAATAGTTTTGATTTTGTGGACTCCTTGAAAGGTTCTTGTGAATTCACAGTTCACACTTTGCGAACTGCTGTGGTTCAGGGTGATTGGATTTATATTGTGGATAAGGTATTGGAGAAGGCATCTCTGGGGAAATGATTTTTAAGCCAAGCAAAAGAAACAATTACACGTGAAGAAGTTTTGAAATAGGCAAAGATATTCTTGTTATCAAGGAACTGAAAGACCAGTGTGCATAAAGTACTGAGATCCAGGGGGGGAAGAATAACACAAGAAGGGGCCAGTTGATATGAGACTTTAGAACCCATTTTAAGGATTTTTGTATTTTATCCTCTGACCAAGAAAAGCCATTGAAAGACTTTTTAAGCAGGGAAGTGATATGATCTGATTCATGTTTTAGAAAGAATACTCGGGCTGTTTAAGGAATTTTAAAAATTATACATTTAATTAAGTTCTTTCCCATATTTAGAGTTGCAAAGTCTTTTCCTATCACTAAAACTTTAATTAAAAACCGGAACTCAGGATGTTCCTTAGATAGTAACTTGATTTTGATTCATATCTTTCAGAAAACCTTGCAGGGCAGAAAAAGAATGCCAAAAGGAATCTTCTTTGGGGCCACATGACATTTTATTCTTTAGTTAAAATATCTCCACTTAACCATGAAACACTTTTAAAAAATTACTTGTGTTCCATTATTTAGTATAAGTAGTTGAATATTTATGAGAACAGACACTCAGGTAACTCATGTGTTAGGTGTACAGACTACACTCCTCATAGTAAGTAACTCCACAAATGTGGATTCTCTGGAGGTATTTTATATGTGAACTACATTTATTTCTGAAAGAATGCCTACTGATTTTTTCTATTTTTTTTTATATTAAATGTTTCTTTTACATGTATGGCAACAGTGATTATATGCCAATATTTAAAAGTTACTCTTTTAAGACAAAGAACTTTGTAATTAATTGAAGGGAGAGAAAGTGGCATTATTTCCAATGCCTATATTACATTTCTCTCCAAAATATTTGTATGGTCTTGGTGTTTATGGATCTAGCAATCTAGGGGGAAAAATACATTATCTTTTATTTACACTATTAATTGTCTTGTAGCATATAGCTAACACAGAGACTCTGAGATTACTACTTGTTCAATATCCAGTTTCTTTTTTCTTCTTTCAATGAAAAGAAGTCTTTTTTGGTTCGTTTTTGGGTATATCACTTTTAAGGGTTTTATATTGATGGGACCTAAATCTCTTTTTTCCTATTATCTCTCTTAACTAAATGTGGAACTTCACTATGTTGCTTTTGGATGAGTTTCAACCTTTGGGTACACAGTTGGATAATTCAGACCGATGGGACCTCTTTTCCCCACCAGACTTTATCTTTTCATCTAGGTTGGGTCTGACAAAAAGGCAAGCAAGATGAATAGTCACGTATTAGAGGAGGCAGTTAGGCTTTCAAAGCTGACCTCGGGTCTTTATTTCTGGAGTAACGCTCATCTTTTAGCCACTGTTAGAAGAACCTTGTTATACTTACCTATGAAATATATCTATGACTAGATTGATTTTTAAAAGTCATTTCATATTTTAATTATATATTCTGAATTTCCCAGGAGTGTTCTGATTTTAAATATTCTATCCCTCTCTCTTTTCATAGAAATACATTCCTCAATCATAAAAATGCTTTTTTTTCTTACTTGATTTTTGATTCATATAATACCTATCCTTAAGCAAGTTTCCTAAGCACTCAGATTTACCATTTTCTATGTCCCTCATTAAAGTTTAATTTTAAAAATGTGGTGATATTTATGTGCTGTTAAGATACGAGAACATAGTGGTATCTTTTGTTCATTTAGGACTCTATAGATCTGATTTTGAGTTGATCATAGAGATGATGGCAAGAAGTGAGTATTAGCAGGGGAGTCGAGAAAAGGGATTATGTTTCTGACTAGAAATGGCCTGTGAGTGAAGTCTTACATGTGGGCTCTGAGTGACATCTTGAGGATTGCAACATCTTGAGGAGATTTTGGGACTAAACTGAGAATTACCTTTTCCTTATCCACATCTTTCTTATCCACCCCCACCCCCCAACACCCCATATAGCAAGTAAGATATAGCTGACAGTAGGTTAATTTTCTTAGCTGTAATAGAATTCTGTCAAAATAAATATATTGCTAAAGCACACATTCCTTGGCCTGCAAGTTTTTGATGTGAAAGAGATATAGCTCTGTGTTTCAGTTTTTGTCCATTAGATGAGCAATGAGTAGCACTTAATTTTCTAGGTATATAGCTTACATATATTCCTTTTTTTCTTATAGTTTTGGTTCTTTTGTGTCTGTAACTTTGTGTGTGTGTGTGTGTGTGTGTGTGTTGGGGAAAATTTTGTTCATATGAATCTGGGAGAAACAGCGAAAATGGAGAGTTTGGAATTTAGATTGTAGAGATGTTTGAGATAAAATGAGAATAAGTTAATTTTACTCTTGATGTTAAGATAAAAGGATTGTAAAGATTTAATCTACAGTTTAGCCCAGTTCTTTTCTTTAGCCTACAGTGCAAATAACACATAATTTTCTTTGTTTTTGAGAATGACTTCTCCTTGAATGGGAACTGAGAAAGCTTATTACACAGAGTTCTCAACAAGATGCCTTTTTTCTCTGCCATGGAAGAAATGTGGAAATAGCTTTAACAGAATGCTTCTTTGTAATGATATTTTGGATTTTTAGAATTTATACTTTTATGGATTTTTATTAATGTTGTAGGCAAGTTTAGAGTTTGTTATTTTGAGATTTTATTTAATAGCTGAAATGTTTAAAATTCAATTAATACAGCTATTGAAAACCTTTTGTATCCTAGCCATTGTGAATACAGAGGTGATTTTAAGCATAGTCAGTTGGTTTACTGTAGATAATCAGTAACTAGTATTCCCAGGTGTTAAACATGGTTCTTTTAAAGACCTTCCAACAAAAAGATAGAGATTAAGTAATTGAACTTAATTAACTGAGGAGCAAGTCTTAGGTAGGAACATTAGTTTGCTAGTGCTGCCATAACCAACTACCATCAACTAGGGGACTGAAACAACAGAAATTTATTTTCTCACAGTTCTAGATGCTGGAAAAGTCCAAGATGGTTTGGCAGGGTTGGTTTCTTCTTAGGTTTCTTCCTTGGCTTGCAGATGACTGTCTTCCTGATGCCTCTTCACATGGTCCATCACCTCTCTGTGCATGTGCACCCCTGGTGTCTCTTCCTCTTCTTATAAGGACACCAGTCATATTGAATTCAGGCCTCACGCTAATCACCTCATTTTAACTTAATCACCTCTTTAAAGACCTTATCTCCAAATAGGTTCCATTTTGAGGTACAGGGGTTGAGACTTCAACGTATGATTTCAAGAGAACACAGTTTAGCATATAGCAGTAGGTAATGAACTCAATCAAGGAAAACAATATTACATTTAATTTTTTTTAATTACTTTGTTTTTACTTTTTATTTAAAAAAGTTTGTGTAGAAGTGCAATTGTTCTGTGTTTTTTATTGTATATCTCCTAGCCGGAGAATTTTCATCCTTGGGCCTTCTCATCATGTGCCCCTTTCTCGATGTGCACTTTCCAGTGTGGATATATATAGGACACCTCTGTATGACCTTCGTATTGACCAAAAGAGTAAGTATATAGAAATTTTATAGTTTGTAAACAGCTGAAGTTTTTACAAATAGGAATTATAAGTTAATTTACAGTTAAAAGTATTAGTATCATAGTAATATTTGAATTGTAAAAATAAAATTTGTTATAATTAATCTGCAAAAAACAAAAACTAAGAAAGAAAATCTTCCATATGCCTAAAAGACAACTATAGTTTTTCTGCCAGCCACAAAAATCTGTCAGATCCGCTAGTCTTTGGAGTGTAGTGGTTACATTTATAGTCAGGGAAGTACCATGTACTTTTTGAACAGTGAGACAAGAAATTGGTACCCACACAACTTGTTGAAACATTTTGGGCATGTTAGTCTTCCTCTGTGTATAACAGTTCCCTCACCATAAATGGATAATGGTGATAATGATTTTATATCCTCATGTATGATTTTTATGGGAAAAAAATTGAGACCGTAGTTGTGAAACTCTGCAAGAAGGGTGCCACATAAATCTTAAGTCCATTTTATTTTTAAAACATATCTATTATTTTGATTTTTAAATAGAATTCTAGAAATCACAGTTTTTATTTAATCATGTCTCATTTTGTACATAATTTTAAAAATACCAAACAATACAGAGACTACTATAACAAATACTCATATACTTATCATCCACACTTGACTCAGAATTTCCCCTCATCTGAACTCAATTTGCATTCCCAAAAGTAACTGCATTCATGAACTTGGTGTGTATCCTCCCAGTTCATCAAATTATATTTTAAGTACATTGAGTGTTTTTATTGTTTGAAGAAATTTTGCAACAAATTCTTCTGTAGAATGAAGAAAGCCATTTGCAGAGGAAATGATCACCTCTTTTTCTTTAATTTTTAGGCCTAAATTTTCATAATTTGGGGTTTTAAGTATTATAGAATATTAGCAATTTGTTGTTAGGATATAGTTTATTAATGAAACTGGAATATTACTAGCCTTACTTCCTGGAATGGTTTTAGGGTACACATTTTTCAAATATTTAAAATGCTTTTAAATTTTTTATTTTTTTCTTCCAGTTCTATTGAGATATAGTTGACATACAGTACTACATAGGTTTAAGTTATACAACATAGTGATTTGACTTTACATATATCATAAAATGATAAGTTTAGCGAATATCCATCATCTCATATAGATACAAAATTAAAGAAATAGAAAAAAATATTTTTTTCCCTTGTGATGTGAACTCTTAGAATTTACTCTCAACAACTTGTATATAACATACAGCAGTGTTTATTATATTTATCATGTTGTGCATTACATCCCTAGTACTTACGTATCTTATTACTGGAAGTTTGTACCTTTTTACGACCTTCATTCCAATTCCCCTTTCCTCTGGGACACGCTTTATTTTTAAAACCTTGTTGGAGCATTCAGAAAATTTTGGTTTTGGATAGACTGGCAATGAGGAATGGAGGATTTTTAATCAGGTATGATTTTATAGAAAAAAAAGTCATACCGTTATTTGTTCGTTTCTTTGTTATTGGTAAACCCATTTAAGGATGTAGTTATAAAAATGCTGGTTTTGTTCAATGATAAAATAAAAATATTCTTATATCTTTTTTTACATATTTCATCATTTTCTTGCTATATATTGATAATATCTAGTTTTAAGTGTAATTCATCAGAAGGATCTGAATTGCTAAATCATTTTAAAATTTTAAGATTATTTAAGGCATGGTACTGTGGTAAATTTATATTCCAGTCTATACCACGAGCTTAATTTTTAATGTTGAGGAAAATAGCATTCTCAGAAGGAATTTTCTTTTCTTAGTATGACAGGAACCTGAGGTGTAAAACAATAAGTCTGTACATTGTATTAAAAAACAAAACAAAACTCAAAAACTATATTATTAACCTCATGAGTAAGTAGACCAGGGGATTTTTCCATATTTCAGTAAGATTTCTAATCAACTGTTCTTGTTAATATCTACTGATTGAATAAGGTCAAGGATAAGCTTAGACTCAGAGGTGACTTTAGATATAATGAAAGGAATTGATGAAAAATTAAAATTACTATTTTTTATGTAACTATGTAACATATGAAAGTGCTGAATAAATCATTACATGTCTTACTGTTTTGTCTGGTATGTAAGAAGCTAGTTGTTTTTTCCTTTTTTTTAAACTAAAAATGGAGAATATTATGTGGTGCTTTTTGTCTCTTGCCAAAGCATGTAGTTTTGTTTTACTGGATAGAGTCTCACAGGGTAAGGATATACATTAATATATTTGTTTTACTATATTTTGAAATCTCTAGTTTACGGAGAACTGTGGAAGACAGGAATGTTTGAACGAATGTCTCTGCAGACAGATGAAGATGAACACAGTATTGAAATGCATTTGCCTTATACAGCTAAAGCCATGGAAAGGTATATTAATTAATATAAGAAATCCCAGAGAAATCATGGATATTAATTTCTTTGGAATTATTTTAACTAGGGTGAGATAATCATTAGGGTAAAGAGTTTTAAAATTTTTGTTGAAATGAAATAAAAATTTGGGATTGGATTTTCTGAATGTGGATTGAAGTTGGTTTTGAGTAGTTTGCCTATGAAGGCTTAACGTGTAAAGTGACACGGTTGTCTTATTAGGTAGAAATATTAAAAGAAAAAAACAACAACAACCCGTGTGTGTGTGTTTGTGTGTATTGATTTGCCTGTTATCTTATTCATTATACATTCATTTATCTCAGAGTAACAATTACATTCTTTCATGTTATAGTGCTATAAGTAAGTAATCATAAAATTTTAGATTTGGAAGTAACTTTGGAGGTAATTTATTTTAGCCTTAATGAAAGTACATGAATCTCTATTCTAAAAGAGATTATTGTATAATAATATATAATAAAAGAGATTATCTAAATATAATATAGATCTGTTATAAAAGAGATCTCTTTTATAAAAAGTGCTTGACAGATTCTTATTTGGTACCTGCTAAAAGGTCTTCTAGTGATAGGGTGTTCACTAGACTATAAGTAGAGTGAAGACAGGGATAATATCTATTTTGTTTTGCACTTACACCCCAGTGCCTAGCACAATGCCTGTCACGTAGTAGTCAATTTATTTTGGTAAAATGAAAGAATTGTTTTAAGAGCTTTCTTTCTTCTTTTAGGGCAATATTCAAATTAGGAAGTTTTCCTTTTATAGGTCACATTTCTCTAATTTTTTCAACCATTTCCTTTATATGGACTTAATATTCCATATGTAGTTTGACTAGTTCTAAATATGGTGAGATTATTCCTTCTCTGGTCCTCATTACTGTATTCTCTTAGGAAAATAAGTAGTGCATTATAGGTTTTCAGTAAATATTTGTCAATTAAATGCATTAATGAAGTCTGAGATTATCTAAGCAGTTATTATGCTGATATGGCTTACCTTACTATTGTTTGATATACTTGTGGTCAGCTCAAACCCCAAGGCTTTTTTATACTGTTAAGCTGGATTATTTCTCCTCTTGTACTTTTGTGGTTGATTTCTTTTTAACCCTAAATGTGTTTGTCTCTTCAGTTATTTCTGTTTAATTTTTCCATGTTGCTTTTATTCCATTATTGCAGTTTTGGGGGTTATTTCCACTCTTAATTCTGTTATCAAAGTATTATTTACTTCTCTCAGTCTTATGTTATCCACATCTTTTCACAATGATAACTATGAGGAATTACATAAACCTGATAGTGTGATATTAAATTATAAGCAGTATAATTTTAGGTTGTTTTAATACATTCTAATTCTTTAGAAGTTATTAAACCAATATAGGCTGTTTAAGTTTTGGAATCCTAGTGTAATCAGAACATCCCATTCTTCAACTACATAGGACAGTAGAAAACTTTTGTTATTTGCTGAAATGTTTGCGTGTTTTGTCATAAGAAAATATATTTTAGACTTAATAAATTTCAATACAATAGGACCAATAAACTGCCAACAGTATCCTTAAGGAAGCTTTAATAAAATAACATTTTTGTTGTTATTTCAAAATTAAAACAGGCATAATGTGGAAATTTAGGAAAATAGAAATTTGAAACCAGTGAACAAAATTTTTGTTCATAATATCCTATTAAATAGTGTTAAATAACCACTTGTAAGTATATCACTTCTCAAGAAAACCTTCCCTACATCTCAGATTACATTAGGATTCCTAATACTGACTCTTAGAAAGTACCTAATACTTTTCCTTTGTATTCTTTGCTGCGCTCACTACCTGTATCAGTCATTCATTACTGAGTAACAAATTGCCTCAAAGCTTAGTGACTTAAAGTCATAACTATTTTATTGCTCACAATTTTTGGATCAGGAGTTTGAGTAGGGAATACCTTGCTCTGGTCCACAAGATACTGACTGAGATGGCTGGAGTGGGCCTTGAGGATCCAAGATGGCCTTAGTGCTGGCTTTTACTTGAGACACCTCATCTGTTCTCTAGATGGCCTGTTCGTTTACCAACCAGGGCTTTTCTATTTTCTTGGTTTCTCTGGAGAAGGATAGTCTGGATTTCTTTACATGGTGATTCTGGATAACAAGAGGACAAAACCAGAACTTTCTTGGCCCATTAAGGCCTAGGCCTGAAACTACATAGTATCATTTCAACTGCATTTTGTTTTTCAAAGGAGAAATAGATGCCACCTCTTGACAGGAGGAGTAGCATATGTGTACAGGAGTAGGAGGTATTGTTGGCAGCCATCTTTGCAGATGGCTACCACAATTCTTCCTCTGGTGGACAATTCACATTTCTCCAACATGGAGGACACCCCCAGCTCTCCTAAGATGCCCAGAAATTTCATCCAGTTATGACCTCAGGTTTGAAGTCCATTATCTTATGATCTGCATTAGGTTGGGATATGGGTGAGGCTCCTTGGGTGTAGCTCTTTTTGATTTGGATACCTGTGAACTAAGAAGGCAAGTCTCCCACTCCCCCTCCCAATGCACTCAGTATACAGTTTTGAGACAAGGACAGTAAAGCACAATAGTTACTTCCATTGCAGAGTGAAAGAATGGGAAGCATGTAGTAGTCTCTGGTCCAAAGCAATTCTGAACTCTAACCAGGAAATAGAAAATATCCTTGATTATGGCTTGGTTCTGTCTTCTGGTAGTGGCTTCATAATTCATTACAGATGGTTCCTGACTTATGATGATTCCACTTAAGATTTTTTGGCTTTTTGATGGTGTGAAAGTGATACATATTAAGTAGAAACTGTACTTCAAATTTTGAATTTTGATCTTTTCCCAGGCTAGCAATGTGTATGCTTACTCTCTCATGATTCTGGGCAGTGGCAGTGAGTCGCAGCACCCAGGCAGCCTTGTGATCACAAGGGTGAACAGCCAGTACACTTAAAATCCTCTGTACCAAGACAACCATTCTGTTTTTCATTTTCAGTACAGTATTCAATAAATTACATGAGCGATTCAACACTTTATTATGAAAAAGGCTTCGTGTTAGATGATTTGCCCAACTGTAGACTAATGTAAATGTTCTAAGCACATTTAATGTAGGCTAGGCTAAGCTATGATGTTTAGTAGGTTAGGTGTATTAAATGTATTTTTGACTTACAGTGGGTTTATTGAGACTTAACCCCATTTTAAGTTGAGGAAGACCTGTATTATTCTTAGCTCTTGACTGGATCCTTTCGGCTTTTGGCTCTCCTCTCTGAGTCATTTTTACTTTTCCATAAGAAATGGGCCTTGTTTGCATCTAAGTAGCAGTTTTAGTCTGCTTCATGTATGTGACAGTTTAAGAGCCTAAAGGCCTCTTTTCATTTGGAACAGTGTTTTGTTTTGTTTTTTAGTACAAACTGATTGAACTCCATTAAACACTTTGTGGGTTTTCTGTACATCAGATTGTAAGTGCATTCCATTAGACAAAAGTTACATCCACAGTTCTTTCTGAGACAGGCTTCTTTCTACTTTGGATCTCAAGTTAGGGGCCTGGAGTTTCTTAGAAGCCCTTTTACCTGCCTGAGAGAGTATACAAGCACTGTCTTAAGTCTTCCTGAGGTCCTAATACATTTTACAGATGCGTTTTGATACGATGCCTCTGAGCCCATGTTCTTGGTAGCACTGTGGATTTGATCTTTGTCCTTATGCTGTTTCTTTGACAGAGGCTAGCAGTGAGAAACAGTTATTTTCCAACCAAGCAACTCATGGTTGGAAATATTTCTTTTAAATTCTGCTTATAATTCTTTAGTTCATGTTTTTCTTCTTGTACCTTCTCATACTTGGCTATAAAGAAGCCATTGACACTTTGAACATTTTGTCTGGAAATCTTCTTAGCTATTTTTAATCTTTAAGTGTATTTTTAATCTTCTAAGTTACATTATGCTAATTGTTCTCCCAGTAAATAATATGGATAACCCTATTTCTAGCCTCCTATAGCAGTGTCCTTACTGCTCATCCAGTTTCCAGGCTCCTTGTTGCCCTTTCAACTTCCACCTATCTCTGTGTCCGCAAAGCCAATATTATATTTTTTAGGTTTCTCTTACAGTAATACATTTTCCAGGTACCATTTTTTGGTCTCAGTTATCTATTGCAGCATGGCATATCACCTTAAAGTACCTTTTCTTTTTTTTTTTTTTTTTTGCTTATGATTCTTTGGGCTAGAAATTTGGTCAGGGATGAGTGGCAACCAGTTTTATCTCTGTTTTATCTGCTGCCAGTTGAGACAGGTTGACTTAGGCTAGATGTTCCAAGGTGCTCTCACTTTCTGTTTGGGGCTATGATACAGGTTGTCTGCTGGGCACCTTAGTTCTCATCTTGGTGCTATCTCCACTTGTTGTTACTCTTCCTTCAGGGCCTGTCTCTACACATGGTTTCCTTTTCCTGCTGGACTATCCTGAAGTACATGGCAGTTCAGGGTAACAAGAAAACAAGTAGAAACTTCTAGGCCTCTTAATATTTAGGCTTGGAACTGGCACAGTATCACTTATGTTGCATTCTACTTGGCAAAGTAAGTTGGAAGGCTAGGTTCAAAGGGAAGGAGAAATTGGCTCTATACCTAATGGGAGGGGTGGCATGAGCATTCAGAAGTGGGAGGAATTTTGGTGATTATATTTGTAGACAACCTACCACAGTAGCACTGCAGTTAAATAGCTCTTTATCTCCCTTCTCTGGTACTTCCCTAACCTATTCCCTACTCCAGGGCAGCTAGTCTACCCTGTATCTTCTGTACCCATCTCAGTACCTGGTACACAAAAGGATCTCAATAATTAATTGTTGAATAAATTAGTAACAATCTATTTGTAATACTTTTATTAAATAATTTTTCCAAAAATGAGATCAGTTTTTTTTTTATTGACTGATTTTCATATCATGAACCTATTTCCATGTCATTTTTAAACTCCTTTTTATTGGGTATACATAGGACTTTCTAGTATATGTCTCTGTAA